TAATATAATACAAATTGTCTCCTGATGTATCAACAGTTGTAACATGTGTTATATTTAACAGGCTATGTACTGTACATTGATTGTATTATTCATACTGTGTGTCCTGAGATAACAGCATTTGTTATATGTGAATTGTTCTTTAACAGGTTTTGAACGAATTATATGGTACGTGTCATCGTTGAGGGTCTTATTCTCCAACCCAAATCAATAACGCTCCTATTGTACTGCGCACATCATTGTCATCCCTAAAAATCCCATCTAATTCATATTACGCTACATAACATTCAAATGCACAGCGCTTGTAGAACCCCAGAAAACGGGAAACATTGAGAAAGGACAACTCACCTACTCAAGGTTCCTAGACCATGTGTGGTATTGTACCCAGGTATAGTTATATCATATCAAGTGTATATATTCATAGCATTAAGGATTACTCAGGGTAGGCATAAGATGAATGTTAAAGTCCAGTTGAGCCGGACTAGGGTACTGTAAGACTAAGTGTGGAGCAGGGTTTGAAGGTCATACTATTTACGTCTGTGAGCGTGTAGCGAACCTAACTCCAACAGATATCATATGAAAATACATAAGAACAATGATCTGGAAAAAGGATAAATGTATCAGAACTATGTGAGGTGTTGACAGTGATCTAGAAACTATACTGAAAAGGAAATATCGTGTATGCGTCGGTATGAATTTAATACACCTCGTAGCCTCACGTGACATATACCCACGACAGGTACAGTGATCAGAGAATCTTATGTCTGTGTTCAAATAGTGCACTGTGTGAGAGGAGGATCCCTCATTACAGTTTTTAAGTGAAGTTGATACACCCCCGCCATGATCATTCGGCTTTTGTTTCAAGGCGCGTCATGTACCCGCCTCAGATGCCCCGTTGATATTAAAATCCCAGGCATTTAACCAAGCACTAGCAAACCAAGACCTGACCTTAGTGTGTAATTTAGGATTAATATATGTGTTTATAAGAAATGAGTGACAATATACCGTAAAGTGTTCAGGTGAGAACCATAAGAAACAAAAGTGTAAATTGAGGATTGGAAACTGTAGGCCTATGTGACGAGAAGCGGCGGGAAGCCGGCCTTAGTCTTTCCCGTTCTGCCGTCACCACAGGTCAGTGTCCTAGCGGGCTATATCCCGCCCTACAATTAAGGTTGATAAATAGCAGTTACTACAGTTTAAAGCTTTGCCGGATATATAAGTGTGATAGGGATGTGTTAAGGGATGGGATAACCGCCCGTCAGGCATTATTTCTTAGTCTTTCCCGTTCTGCCGTCACCACAGGTGCCACGTGGTCGGGGTATCTTGCCGCCCGGCCGCCATTGTCTCCTTGAGCGCCACACCAGGTGGGGAATTACTCCCCACTATACCAGTCCACTATGAACCGGTGGATTCCCAGCGCACCACTCCACATGAATAGTCACAACTAAGGAGACCGTGAGAAACTGCGGTCGTCACTTGGAGCGACCTACAATACCAGGCGTAGAAATAGTGCTGGTATGTCTCTAGGTGAAGCCCTCGTCTTTACCCACCGAGGGCGGTGTGCGAACGAGGTGCCCGTTGTGTATACCTAAAAGTCACAAGGAGTCACATACTTGCAGGTATGGAGTGTAACAGGTGTGTTGAGATGGTGCTACTATGTATGATAACCGACGGTGCTAAAATCCACACCAGTGGAGCAGTCTGATGTGTTAAGGGATATTGTAAGAAGGAACGACCGAGATACGGCGTTCACCGATTGTTATGCAATAAGTGGGTGGATGACCCGCCAGTAATGTAAGAGTCTGGGGCCCAGCTGGGTAACCAAAATTCCGTTGTTCTTCTGAGGAAGGCCAATTCATGTATGTTTTTTTACCAGTATGTTTTATAAGGAATAAATCAATTAAGACATGTTATGGTTTCCCCCTTCTTTACCCTCATCGATCTGGTCAATGGAAAACCTAACCCAATGCCTAGTCCACTCTGCCCGCTACCTAACGAGCTACATGCTGTCCAGAGGGGGTCTGGTGGCAGCGACCCTTAGACATTAAGATTAGAGTTAAATTATCCCCTTAGATTTAGTGACCCCAGATCTGGCAGTATAAATTGGTGGCTATAGCGGTGGGATGGTTTTTAATCATTGATCAAATCCGAGGGAATTGAAGTTGTGATTTAAAGTTGCAAGTATAGACAAGTATTTTAATGATGGATAATCTGATTTTTGAGTGATACTTGCAGGTGAATAACATTGATTTGAGTACAGAAATGTAAGAAGAATTTTTGAAAATTTATACAGTACTGAAGTCATGTGTGTCATTGTGTGTTTTGTGTTTGTGTTTTATCCAGTGTTAATATGTATTAATACTTGCAGAAGTTGTGGATTAACTTTGGTGACGTTGAGGTAAGGGAGTCCACACTGTGTCTGAGAAGTGTCTCAAGTGGTTCACCTATGGAATACCATAGGACTTTCGGTCTCCAGTTGATGTGAGTTATAATTTTTGGTGCC